ATATGACTGCTGTATAATAAGGAGTTTTGTTGTTTGAATATGAATGTATGTTCCCTCTCTCTCTCTCTCTCTCTCTCTCTCTCTCTCACACACACACACACACACAGACAGTTCAGTGCCAACATTATTAGAATCTGAGCTCAGGATGTGCCTCCATAAAAAGCTTGTGGAAAATGTGGATAGTAGATGAATCAATAGCAAAGTGTGCTCTCTAAACAACTTGATTAATTTGAATTTCTTTTGGCTGTTACTGTATCTTTGAGGTTCCAGAGTATTTTTGAGTTTTTGTTTTAGCTTAAAAGCAATAGGAAGTGGGAAATAAAAATAGAAATGATGAAATACAGAATCTTTCTTTAGTTTACATGTACACACACACACACACACACACACACGTACAGTCATGGCTGTACATGTGTGTTCACCTATTATGTAAACTCCAGCCTGCATATGCTGAATTTGTATTAGAAAACCATTGGCACTTCCTTGGGAAAAAAAATGGAGAGATGCTGCCACCTGCTGGACCAAGGTTAATAATTCAATAAGAGCGTTTTGAAGAAATGTAATTTTGGGTATGGAAAAGTTTTTCAAAGAACTGAACCTTTAGGGCTTTGCTTAAACTAAAAATAGAACCCTACTTAAAGAAAATCACCATACAGATTAATTTAAGTATGCAAGTTGATTATCTGTTTGCAAATTAGCCATTCTTTTGGAATTGGTTACACACTGTTCCTTTAACAATTTACAGTGCAGCCTATAAATATCTAGTGAGTTTTCTACTGTGGCATCAATGTTTACATCTGTAGTGGAAATAAGTTAAAAATTAATACTAATGTAATACTAATAACTTAAAGTATTTAAAATACAACGTAAGAGGATTGGACACATGGATTTTCAAGTCCTCAAGGAGGAATGTAAAGATTAATATTAGATCATACAGTTCCATGTGTATATGCTAGGTGGCRCTATTGAAACAAGATGGCTTGGTTACTGGCCAAGTCAAGGGCTTAATAGATGGATGTTCACATGACTATTCTTATTACAAACATCCACATGTTCCTTGTCTTTCATTATTTTGTTTATTTTGGCCTGTACCCCTACTGCAGTTTTAGTTCCTTAAATTCAAGACTAAGAAAAATTTTGGTAGCTAATAGCATGCCAATTTTTAAAAGTTAGGGAGAGAACTGGGCATGGTAGCACAGGTCTTTAATTCCAGTGGCTCAGGAGGCTGAGGCAGGAGGACTGTGGGTGCAAAACCAGCCTCAGCAACTTAGCAAGGCCCTAAGCAACTCAGTGAGACCCTGTTTCTAAATAAAATATTAAAAAAGAGCTGGGGATGTGGCTCAGTGGTCAAGCACCCCTAGGTTCAATCCCCAGTACCCCCATTCAAAAAAAAAAAGTTAAGAAGAGAAAATATTTATAAATACACTAATGCTCAGAAACATATGAGTCTTTCTGCTTATTTTTTTCCCACACTTCAATAGATGACTTCTCTGGGCTGGCTTCAATTACTCATTTTTAAAGTAGTGGTTGGGTGGGGAAAGAAGTAATGAGCAAATACAATGGAGATTAATTAATAAATAAAAAAAATAGAATAGTAGATCTTGTATTAGTGGGAAGTAATAAGTAKAATAGTATTTCTTGTATTAGTGGGAAGTCATCCTTCCCTAGTAAAGTCTGTTTGGGCCCTGGTTCGCTAATTCAAACTAATGTCCAGGCTTGGGGAGAGTTTCTGCGTACTTACTCCACCACACTTGCCCTGATATCAGCAACTGCCCTATGGATGGTAAGAAACACCTGAGCATAGTCTACTGATTGTCTATCACGCTAAAATTTTAATTTTTATCTCATGCTAAGTACTTCTGAGATAAACTAGCTGGGTCTCCACAAAATGCAAACATTAATATAAAATAATTTTAAAAATTTCTAAAGACTAGGTCTCTCAAATATTTTTGACACCAGCATATCTTTCTATAAGAAATTAAAAGCAGATGGGGGACAGTCAAGCTGTTATTATTTAGGAAGTTCATTAACTTAATGAAATGGTGAGTTATTAGAACAAGAAGTACTAGTTTGTAAGAAGTAATAAATTCGATTCTCATCTAAAATAATTGAAAAAATGAAAAAAAATTGAGTAACAGGCATTGCTATTTTTTACTAGTTCCCTAGATAATCATCGCTAGTAGTACTTTTTCTTCAATAATGAGACTGGTGTACATGTTGTAGAATTGCTGGAGAGGGATTACTAAAAATCAATACACACCTGCATTTTCCCCCAATAAAAGGACAAACACCAGAGAAAAACAGTCAGTAGAGGGTTTGCATATTAATTCAATTTTTCAGATGGTCAGTTAATCTATAATAATTAAGGGTCACAAAATCCCTCAATAGCTTACACTTTAGGTTTTTTCCTTTGGGCTCTCTAAGCCTACTTAATTATATTTTTTTTTTAAAAAGTTTTTGTTTTTGCAGTGCTGGGGATAAGAATCTAGGGCCTTACACATGCTAGGCAAATGCTCTACAGCTGAGCCACTAAAATGCTTTGATAAAGTATGAGAGCAATGATGTTAAGGGCGCTGTAAGAGATAAGACTTAAAATGCACAGATGAGGTGCTGAGGTGTGAACAAGACGAAGGTGACATGCAGCTACTCTTCCTTTGATCTAATTGATACCAACTCGATAATTTGTGGCTATGAGAAAATAGTATAGGTGCCTCGTCTTTGCAGATGCTAAGATATACTGAAAAGCTGACCAAGTGCACAGGTTCATTTCTGGTCCTCTGCCTCAGAGACACAGAAACTCTTCCTGACAGAGACCATGGACTTGCTTGGTGTTCAGTAAGTATCTCAAGAAGATACTCAAGAGACCACAGAGCACAGTCTCAAGTCCAAGGTTCATTTTGTGGTGCACATGCTTTGTGGGAGCCCAGAGAGTGATGGGTGATATTCAAAATATGTAACAACCACTTCCAACAGGAATCAAATTCAGAGCAGTGGGTGTGGTCCCGAAGACCCCTCCTTTGCCATGAATCACTCCTTTTGCCACTTCATTGTTGGAAAGTGGGGAGGACTGGGCAGCCAAGCATAGGTCGAAGGCAGCAGGGATGACTGGACTATTTTAACTGGTGGAACAGCTGTGCTGTGTTTGCCCCAGACTGTGGAAGCTTTTCACCAGCTGCACAGAACCAGATGCCCCTTGTTCTCTCCAGGGTATTTGATATACTAGTTTACCAAACTCCCAGGGAAAAAACTTTAATTTACAGGTGGAAAGCTTGTGGCTGAAGGTAAAAGAGCTAATAATGATCCAATTTTCAGAAATATTTTCTATTTTGATGCACTGATGGATCACAGGACGAAGCCCACAATTTCTGAGACGCCACATACTAAATGGAGAAAGCAGGAAGTCAGGAAGAAATGTCCTGACAGCAGCCAGGTAAGTGGGCCCTTTGGGTGGTTTATACATATTTAAGAAGCACCATGACCCATATGTCCTCATCTAAGTCATCGGGTCTGTACCCATGTGCTGGGTCATGCATCTTATAAAGTCTATCAGCCTCAGACCAGGATAGCTGATGCTTTGTGATATAGAAGGGGACCCTCATGGTGACTTATTAATACTCTCCCCAAACACTGGGATGAGACAGCATTCATTTTTATTTGATAATGATGTGTTACCAAGATTCAGTCATCCCTTGATCTCATATTGTTTATTAAACACACAATGTATATTTTACACACACACACACACACACACACACAATAAAAGATAAAACCAAAGGTGGAAAAGAACCATGGCTTGTGCAAACCTTTTACCTTCAATGGAATCTAGTTAAGGGTAAGACCTCTCCTTGCACAATGAGCAGAGTTTGTGTTGTCTTACAGAGCTAAAAATCAGACACAGCAGGGCTCTCTAGGTTCTTTCTATTTAAATTTTATAAACTTCTTAAATTGCCTGCAGTTGAAAGGGCAAAAGAGGACTTATATTTCCAAAACTAGCTCTTTAAGGTTTATTTTGCTTCTAGCTATTCAAACCACATTTCCTGCTGAGAAGATGCACCCACTGGGCACACCTTGAGGTTTCCTGCCTGTTCATCATGTAGGTGAATGGGATTTTAGAGACTAAGGTAGAACCTTCTGCTGATGGTGGGCAGCAGTACCTAGGCTCCTCCAGGCAGAGACCAGTTTACCTGGGCCTTGGAACCTTCCAAGTGTACACAGGCAAGGTCTGTAGTCCCTGCTAGGGTGTCTGCTGCCTTTGGGTGTCTTCTGACTGCTATTTACTTTTACAGGCAGAATGCCATCTCCCACCTCAGCACAAGACAAAACCATCAACAGATCAGTGAACAGGCTGCTTGTGGCAGCTACAGGTTAAGGAGCATAGGGAAGAAACAAGCAACATTGTGTGTTTCTCCAAGTTAAATAATGAGGAAAAAATGATGGTTTCTGAGCATTATAATTTTTACAGTGACACTATGGGCCACCCTTGTAACTGCTTTGCCACCTCCCATTTCTTGCTTCTGCCTGCAGACCACTCAGGTATAATAAACTCTTAACTGTGTTTTCAATTTGCGGCTCTATCTGTTCTGTTGCTGGAATTTTGGAAGCTGGAGTGCCTCCCACAATGGCAGCTGGGCCACAGCTCCTTCATGATGTCGATGGCTCTTTCCCCCCCACACGCTTCCCCATCCAGAGACTGTGGCTATGTAACGGTGACCCATTTGTTTACCCAGCAACATGCTCAGGACAAGGCTGATGGAGAATATTGCTCATTTCATTTTCTGCGGGGGCAAATGGAAACATCAAGACTTTAAACATGGTGAGTTTGTGTTTGCACCTGAGCTCAGGGTTTTAAGATCAACAGCTCATACTTCTCACCTTCCTCTGCAAGCCAGGGAAACACAGAGATCATGCCACTCCTCCATTTCCAAGACCTTTTCAAGGTGCTTAACCCTTGAAAACAGACAGACCCTCCCTGGGGAAGGGTTTGTGTGGGGTGGAGTTACCTGGGTCCTTGTAGATGCTGAGCACACCCTTGAAGTAATGAGGTAAAAATCTTTCCAGTAAAAGCAGCACATCTTCCAACTCCTCGAGAATCCCCACGAGCAGGAAGTTTTCATTCACGTTCAGCTTTGCGCGTTCGAGGGCCCACTCACCAGGCTCCCTTTATGGAGATGAAAATTGATCAAAGATTTGTTTTTGCAAGGCAGCAATAACACACAGAAAGCTGATAGCTCCTGCCCTCCCGCCCTGGCTTGTGTAATTGCAAATCCGACTTCCTTTCAGGACTAGCCAGGGTGCAGCCTTGACTAGTCCTTCTTCATTCATTTTCACCTGTGTGTAAGGTCTTTGAACTGAGTGAGCCCAGCCTACATATTTATTGAAAGACAAATATAAACATGAGCATTTAGGTCCTTACAAATGCTAATCAGGGGGTGATCAGAAGAATGGCTTTTTATTAGGAGGCCCAAAGAGAACAATAAAGAAGTTTGATGTTTTGAAATATGAAACTTACTGACACTGTATTTCTAAAGAAATCAAAACAAGCATCCAGTCATGCCTGCCAATTGTCTTATTCTTTTAAAGAATTGAAAGAAAAACTTTTCTTAAAAAATTATTAATTACAGAAGGGAAACAGCATAATCTCATTTGTAGGCCAGATTTCTAAGCCTCTGAGCCAACATTTATATAAGCAAGAAGAGCCCAGGAGCTGGGCTCTAGGCCTGGCTATCATTTACCACTTGGAGAAACTTGAGCAAGCCAAGTTCCCTCTTGAAAAATGGTAATAATAACCCTTATCCACCCCTACAGAATCAATAGGGTTGAAGAAGATAATGTTTGAAAGTTTTGAAAAGCATTACTAGTGTGCCCAGGTAAGGCATCATGAGCACTCTGCCCAAGGTTGGGAAATGGACAATTTGAGAAATATTTTAGGGAGTTAGAATCATGGTTCTTTGGATAAGTATGTCCACTGTGATCAGAAAGTGAGTCATCTGGTCCCAGCTCTTCCCAGCATCTGAGGCAACAAGGATGAGCTGGAAAGTGTTCATTACTGGGTGCACGTGTGTGGTGGGGGGCCTGAGCTCAGGATGTGTGTGATGATGCGGAGGACAGACAGTGGCTGGGCCCAGAATTCAGCAAACTCTTGCACTACCGGGGCTAAACCATGCAGCAGCAAGACACGCCTAATAATTAAGCAGGACTCACAGCACAAGCAACAAAGTGCCATGAATGGGCTGCACTCTAGGACCAGCTGTTATCCCTCGCCTCTTCAGGAACATAAGGATGCTCTAATCAAGATTCCCTTTGGGGGACGATGTCTCTTCTGGTAAAAGTCTTTGTTTCACCAAGCAAAGATCGTAGTCCCCTGCTGCCACTGTTTCTTTAGCTAGACATTTGTCCAGTCCCAGTCCAAGGCTTTCCACTGTGGCTACACCGGAACTACCTCGGAGGTGGTCAGGAATGCCCGCACCCCGCCTCAGAGACTGTGATGAGTTGAGGGTTCTGAACAAGTTCCCCAGGGAGGCTCTGCAGGATTTGGCACAGCACACTCCGAGGGCGCCGGCTCTGTGTAAGTCACTTTCTAAAGCAGCCAGGCCTTCCAGGGGGACTCACGGGACCACTGCTCTTTTTCTATTATCTGTTTCATGAGAGAGACACCATCGAATTCTGGGTGTGGATTTCCAGGGTTTTAGACCCAGGAAACATGACAGGGACAGTGGTTGGTTAAGTACAGTCACCACTGTGGAGCAAGTGCCCCTATCTCGTGGGCTGAGTGGTGACAGCCAGGTGTAAGAAAGGGCCTGGTGAAGATTCTAGTGACACAGCTGACCATGGTGACTTAGAGGCCTCTGTCAGAGTCTCAAACGAGGAGCAATAGTAAATATGAACTGTGTTCCAGAAGGTCGAGAGGGTAGGATAGAGAAGAGTCCCACAGAGCCAGTCTGGTAGGTGCCCTGGCCTTGTGCACGTGAGCATGCTGTGAACCTGTGTTTGTCTTTACCTGCATCTGGGATGCTGTCCACAAAAATACGGAATGATGTAAAATAACCTGGGGTTGGAACACTCAGGGTAGTTTTCAAGAATGCACTCATTGATATCCTACAAGAGAAAACAGCAGTGAGATGCCTCATGGTCTGCGCAGTGGTTCCTCAAATGAATACTTAAATTGCACGGGCAAGCTTGGAGGGGGTGCACAGAATTCACAGACCTCCAGAGAAAACTTCCTTCTCGCCTCCCAACACCTGGTTTATTTGACCAGATACACATATGGCCCCAGGCCAGTTCAGAGGGTGCCCATTCAGTTGAGTACACTGCATCTCTGCCCCTCCAGGGGGCTCAAAGGCTGTGGGCTGGATCACAAGCATTGTGAGAATAATCTACCCACGGGATCAGCTAGGACCTCAGCAGTTACTAGCCAGCCATTAGGTGCATAGTTGGCACTTAATAAATTTAGCATAACTTAGTTCTCAATGAGTTCTGACTTAGTTACCTACCAGTATGGCCTGGAGCAATGAGATTCCCTATGTAACCACACATTTAACCAACAATGACTAGGTATCCACAATAGTCTCATGAAGGGCCTGCAAATTTCAGAGGGGCTGCAAAATGATAATCAATCAACAAATATATGAAAAAATATTCAATATCTCCAGCAATTAGAGAAATGCAAATCAAAACTACTCTAATCAGCTTTTAAGAATGGTTTGGTATGCTAAAGATCTAGAAAAGGTGGTAATTTCTGGTTCCAAAACTTCTTTTAAGTTAACAGAATATCTTCTTTCAGCCTTTGCCATTTAAACTTCCCCCTTCTTGGAAGGTGGGATGGGAAAGGCACCCATGTTAGCATCAGACCTCAGTGCAATGTACCACTTGCTAGTCATGGAGTCTTGGCAAATTTCTCCTTGTCATAGGCTCAATCCTGCCTCTGTGCAATGAGACTATTGCCCCATTTGCCCCATGGACCTTTGACTAAGGTTGGCAATCATGTGGGCCAATTATTTCCCCTGTCACTCAACTTCAGATTATGCCTTCTTCGTTACACATCTGCAGTGTTTTCATTCTTTCCCCCTCTAGCTTATATTTAAAAACTGTTCCCAGTGAGTCCAATAGTCTTTTATTTTTTAATTTCCTAAAAGGAAGTATTAGTTTTTTTTAAGGTATACAGAACAATACGATTATAATTATAAAAGCATGGGATGTAATTGCTCTAATTCAGTCCCCAGTACTTCCCCTTTTCCCTTCCCTCTAACTCTACTGACCTTTCTACTATTTACTTGTAATTTTTTTCCTTTTAAAATTACTGTCTTGTGTATATACTCCAGCTATCTCACAGAGAAAATAGAGAGGTCAAAAATAATGGAAATCAGAAATTTGCTGTTTATGCTATACCAAAAATACAAAAAAACCCCACAAAAGTTTAAAGCAAAATCAACCAGAATCCACTACTGTGGAACTTTTGATTTATTGTATCTCATTTTACTCTCTACATAAAACCACATAACACTGTGACATAAAAGCACTTTTCCACTGTGGATTTAAAATAGATTTGGGAGCCAATCTTCACACTCTTAAGAATGCAGACATTAGAGAAAGTTGAACGGTGAAGGACAAGATGAAGGACAATTTCTTGGGCTGGCTGTGACAGTTGTGTTAGAAACGGAGAGAGAAAAATGACTGTCATTCACGACGGAGGCAGTATTGAATCCTTGACCCACAGGTGGACCATGGTAATCAGAGTACAAATTTGATGGGTCAGTCAATTTAGATAAGTGGAGTGGACGTGGGCTAAGCTAACTTTTATTGCATCACACTCAGCCTCATAAGCCCTTTTTTAAGCCTTGTAAAGAATTTTGAGTCAGAACCAGAAGAGTTGAGCAAGACTTTTTAGTGAGGCTTAAAAGACTGGAAAGTGGCAGGTGGCCAGAGAGCCTCGTTCTCCCATCCCATGCTCCTGTCAGGCCTGAATCAGTGATGACACATTCCTTCTAATAGACACGAGAAATGCCCTTCAGAACCCTTCTCCACACAGCCCTCCAGAAAGCAGCATCATTAGTGAAAGTAGCACCTTGCTCTCCCTATTGTGAGCACAAGGTGTGTTGTTGGAGGGTTAACATGTACAGCCTGTATTCTGGTGGCTTTCTGGTCCTTTATAACACTTCTGAGTTTATGACTCTGTGTCTGATGGCAGAAATGCAGATAAAGACTTTCTGGGTAAGTGACATATCACTGTACATGTGTTGTAGATAATATCCTTATTCACTGGGGGCCTCATCCAGTGAGCTCCTAAATCCTGAAAGGGAAACACACTGACCAAACATTTTCAAAACCCCTCTTCTGCACTCCAAGATTCTGAATTTAATGTTTCTATTGCATTAAACTAAAGAAAAACTGTAGTACTAGTTTTTATCCTGAAATGATAATGAGGAGGATCAATCTGGAAAATAGCTCAGTTCCCATTAGATTTCAGTGGGCCATTTTCTGTTAACTACAATAAAATTTGTCAAGCATTTAGGGTGATTGTGGGCAGGATTCTGTGAAAGATGTAAATGGTGCTTTCCAGAAACATCCTTGCACTTCTTTTAATATATAGCATGAATACAACTGTGGAACATGGTCTGGCCTTGAGGTCAAGGGATTTTGGTGCTTTTCAAGGAATGTGGGGACCTCAACTATGATGATTTCATAAAGACGAGAAAATGTGGGGAGCCACGCCTAATAATAACAAGATGCATATGGAGTCATGTTGGCTAACTTCCATTTTTATGGTAAAATATTTATTAGAGTATTGTTTAAAAGATCAGAAATTATATATGAATTTTTGTGATCAGATAAATGTGATATATTTGATTGTAAATCATTATAGTCATTGAAAAATGTTTAATAAAGCATACATAACTATAAGAAAAATTCTAATCTGAGAAAACCAGGGCAAAATTACATAGGTACTACTTTTTTTTTAATACTGGAAGAAAATAAATCAAAATTATTTATAAAGGTTGTGTTTGAGATGTGGAATTATAGATTCCAAACTTTCCCTTTTTTTCTTTTTCAGCACCATCTCCTGGACTCTGGGCCACTGCCCATCACCATGTCATTTATTGCCTGCTGCCACTCTGTGTCAGCCTGTTCCAATTTGGATGTCAGGCTCTGTTCTGGCCTGTTCGCCTGCCTTATGCAAGTAGGTAATCTGGTTATAGAAAGCCTGATCTCAATGACTGGCTCATGACTGCTTGCTCCTGTGATTAGAGCTCGTTTGGAAAGGTGTTCCATTCCTTTGATTTATTATCCTGCCCACCTACTCCTTCAAGAAAGCAGTATCAAGCCCATGTCAACATGGGAAAGAGCAGGTGTCTTATGTGTACAAAAGCATAAAATGTTATAAAGTGTCTATATTGTAAGTATCAAAAATATCTTTGAATATACATGGGATTTTTTATTGAAAAGAAATTTAAGTTATTATAATTTTGGTCTATAATATCACTATTGAACACTGTCAAGCACTTCAATTCCTTGATTGTTTCAGTTTTCATTATCCATTATGAGGTAATACAAGTCCTTTGAGCCTATGGACAGCTGGGCACACCAGCCTGGCCTTCAGGTGGAGTCACAGGTGGGCTGCTGGGCTGTCTTCCTGAACTCAACTCTCTGAGCCTTCAAATCCAATGCCATTCCACGCTCCAGGGCAGGAAGGGCTGCCAAGCAGGCAGGATTTTGCCAGTCTGTGTGGTTATTTTATTAGGTAAATAAATGTCTACAGATTCTAGTTTAAAAACAATGGACCCAACCCAGTTTTGTACAGACATTTTCAAAGGTAAACGTGGAATACATTATCAGTTACTAGCTCTCATAATTATAGTGTTTTTGGCTAAGGATCATTTGCTTTCTGCATATAATATCTGAATTATTAACACAAAGAATGTCTTTAAAAAGAGGTTAATCTCACTAGGAGTTACTTAAAATACCATTATATACCCTAAATTCGGTACCAAGTGGGACATTAAAATGGAGAACACTTCACAAGGGAAGGTCCATCTTGGCAAAAAAACTTGGGGACATAAACTTTATAAAATCATAAATCAAAAAAAAAATGAATTCAGGGGTGAGTTGGAGGAACTGAGGGAAAAGGAAGTAGAGGAATGTGGTTATTTCTTTAACAGAATTAGAAATGAAACTTTACTTGGGATTCCAACTTCAATTTTTCAACTAGAATTTTTGAATATAGCTTAATCTATGAAGTCACAATATGACCTAGTACAATTTCATTTCAGAGATTCTCATATTGGGGTAGGTCAGAATCATTTGTTCATTGTGTTTAAGCAATTCAAGCTGAAATCTGCAACAAACAATACATGACACTCTTTTTATTTGGGGGGGGGTACTGGGGATTGAACTCAGGGGCACTTGACCACTGAGCCACATTCCAGCCCTATTTTGTATTTTATTTAGAGACAGGGTCTCACTGAGTTGCTTAGTGCCTCGCTTTTGCTGAGGCTGGCTTTCAACTTGTGATGCTCCTGACTCAGCTCCTGAGCTGCTGGGATTACAAGCCTGCGCCACCGTGCCCAGCGAAACTCTCTTTTTAATAGATGAGTTTAATCACTTAATTTTACTATGATTATTATTCTTGGGTTTGTGCATCTTATGTTTTTTCATTGTTGTTGTTATTTTTCTCTGCATTTGTTTTCCCTTTTATGTCTTCCGTAACTTTAATAACTTTTAATAATACCCCTTCCCTTTCTCTCTACTTTCCTATTTCACTAAAGATTATATTTTTATTCTTTTCATAATTACCCATGCATTTTTAACAATCTAAGATTTTTTTCAGCTATATAATTCTGACAGCTCAAAAAATAAAAACAACGGAGCTTAAAATACTTTCAAATACTACAAAGTTCTGAGGAAGGGCATAGAACTTTTAAAATTCATTCATAAATAGATGGTCAGAAAGATGAGTACATGAAAAAATGTCCAAAAATGTTTAGTGTTAAGCTCAACTTAATTTTTTCTAATAGAGCCTGAAACAATTTTTTTTTGTTTACTACTCCAAATCAGAGGATTTTAGCACCTTTAACTATTAAACACCAACCACCCCATCTTAT